GTAGATGTTCATTAAATGAGACTTGATCAGAAAGCCTGTCTTGTCTCCATTCTTTGCATCTCTTGTCCCTTTCCATCCCCTCTCATCCCTCCAGATACCCACGTTGACTGTCTCGCGGGTCGGGACAGAATGGGACAAATCCTTTGTCTCATGCTCATATTTTGAGTCACATCAGAGAATTCATACTGGAGTGAAACCCTACAAATGTAAGGAATGTGGAAAATCCTTTCTCTCTTGCTCATATCTTATGCCACATCAGACAATTCATACGAAAAACCCTACAAATGCAAAGAGTGTGGCAAGTCCTTTAAGTGGTTGTCAAGTATTAAACAGCATTACAGAATCCATTTGGGAAGGAAATGTTACAAATGCGAGTAATGTAAAAAGTCCTGCCAGGCACAGTGGCACATGCCTTTAATCCTAGCACTTGGGAGGCAGAGGAAGGAGGATCTCTGTGAGTTCAAGGCCAGCCTGGTCTACATAGTGAGTTCCAGGACAGCTGGGGCTATGGGGAGACCCTGTCTCAAAAAGACCAAAAAATAAAAATAAAAAGGTCCTTTGTCTCGTGCTCATATTTTGTCACATCAGAGAATTCATACTGGAAAGAAACACTACAAATGTAAGGAATGTGACAAATCCTTTGTCTGGTTTTCTAATCTTAAGTCACATAAAAGAATTCATACTGAAAAGAAACCTTAAAAATGCAGAGTATGGCAAGTCCTTTAAGTGCTTGTCAGATATTAAAGAGCATCACAGAATACATATTGGAGAGAACCGTTACCAATGTAATGAATGTGACAAATCCTTCACCTTTGTGTCAACTTTTATAAGACATCAGAAAATTCATACTGGAGAGAAACTCTACAAATACCAAGAAAGCGGCAAGTCCTTTAGGTTGGTTGTAGACATTAAGGAACCTCAGAGAATCCATGTTGGAGAGAAAAGTTACAAATGCAAGGAAGCTAACAAATTATTTGCCAAAAGCTCAGATCTTAAATCACATCAGAGAACTCATTCTGGAGAAAAACCCTCTAAATGCCAAGAGTATGAAAAATCCTTTAAGTGATTGTCATCCATGGAAAGCCACCACAGAATCCACACTGGGGATAAACCTTGCAAATGTAAGGAATGTGAAAAGTCCTTTACCTAGGTCTCAAACCTTAAAGTTCATCAAAGATGTCATACTGGAAAATAAACAGAAATACAAGCAGTATGAGAAATCATTCACACAGGGTGAAAATTTTTTAGCACATTTTAAAATTCATGAAAAATTCTTTCTTATTGTTATCAGGATACAATATTTAATAATTAATTTAATTTTCAATCATTAGTAATAATGTGAATAGAATGGCTAAATTATAGTGACATCATACCTGGATATTCATAATCAGAATAGTTTTATATAGGAAAGAATTTTGATATAGTAGATTGAGTGAGAAATGCTTTAATATATTTGAATATATTCACAAAATTTGAAGACATATATCCAGGTAGTCAGCATCCCTATGCAGGAAGCCCCTCAAATCACACTAGATGTGGCCAATTCTAATATGTAGCCAATATTAACAACCAATGACATATTATGACACCGGCAGTTTGATGCCATCACTTTGCTATAGTTTAAACTCTTTCCACAAAATCTAAAATATCTGTGTGTGTGTTATTGCAAAGGTAAAGGAGAAGGGTAACTAAATCTTCCTGAGAGCTCTGTACTGTGTTGCTAGCTGCATTAGAGCAAACATAAGCAGGTAACGAATCTCCCCAAAGAGACCTTACTTTCTCTTTCACCTCTCCTCTAGTGGCCATGACAAATTCTTTAGCCAATGCAATACCATTACAAATCAAAACAGAATTGATACTAGAAAGAAATATTATTAACCTAAGTAATTTGTGAAAGACTTTAATGAATGTTTAAAACTATGAAAACACCCCCAAATTTATGATGAATGAAAGTCCTGCAAATGTAACACAATCTTATAAAATCTTTAAATAAATCCAAACTGAAAAGAAACTTTAAGACATGAGCTATGTGATAATACCTGGAATTATTCCTCCAAATGTGTTCACTGAATCCATATTGGTGAATCTATAAATATACAGCATCATGTTTTCCCCATGTCATGTATATTGGAAATTTGACACTCAAGGCAACCTCCTAAAATAGAATTTTTCAAGTTGTAAATGTTGGCATTGTCCATTTTGCTTATCTGTAGGATATTTTACTCTGACCCACATCAACACAGATTAAGTTAAATGAATGGGAGAGAATAAGCAGATCCTTCCTGAAACTCATAGTGGGTGAGGATTCCTTTCTTTAGTCACTACTCCATTGCCAATGGGGAGCACTTCCTTCCCTGTGTTCCTCCATTATGTAATGACAGAATCTGGATTGGATGGCTTAGGCCTATTAGATATTTACAGAGAGATTTCAATAAATCTCTTTTCACTTTTTCTCTGGAGGTTTGTCTTAGCCCCCACTCAAGCAGATTTATAGTCTACCTCTTCAACCAAATGCCCCTCCTTTTTTGAGGGAAACTTCAGGAGCCTTTTATATAAACTCTACCTTCTAACCCTAGAAAACTTTAAGGAAAATTTTATCATGAGGTATTTAGAAAATCTGAGCTTGTGGTAGGGACTTGTCCTCTGGTGGGAAATCTAGATTGGCAAGCAGTGGATGGATACCTTCTTCTGAAGCTGAGATTCATCTGCTTGCTCCAATCCCCACAAATGACTTTTCTGTAGGAAGGGAGGGTCAGAGAGAGAGTCTTCCATGGCTTCCATCCAACCAGCTGACCTGAGTCGTACATGGGGGAGAGACTAAGGATAGGGATAGGGGAAGCCAGAGTGAGGGGGTGGCCTTCACCATCCTGGCCATCGGCTTATGTCTCCTACCAAGTTTGTATATGGAGGAATTCTGGCACCACATAACTGTACCTGTTTGAGTCATTCCCATCTGCAACCACTCCCCAAGATGTGCAGCAAGTAAACAGGAAGTGTGCGGATATGGTTCTGTAGGTAGAGGGCATGCCTAACATCAGGAAGCTGCCTATAATACTCTTCATTCAGCAAACTGGGAGTGGAGGCCCAGCCTGTAATTACATCAATCTCTGGCATAGGCAGAAGGCCCAGGTCAAGGTCATCCTGGGTAAATGTGGAGTTCAGGGCCAGACCTTGATACATGAGAACCTGTCTCAAAATTTTAAAAAATTACAGAAGAATATGAAACTTCTCACATGTTTACTGTCTCCTATATCATTATGAATGTTTGTAATGTGTCAGAAGAGTGCATCATTGGGTCTAAAGTAAGATCTGTGATGAAAGGGCATGAATGTGCCCAAATAAAAGGTCATGCTAACAACATTGGGAATCATGTCCTGCAGCTAAATTAGGGAGGTAAATCTTCACATACTCAGTGTCCATCAAGCTGGCCCAGTCAAGTCTTCACACTAGTCTCTTGTGCAGAATCTCCAAAAACTGTGTGCTTTTTACATTTCATAGTAAACTGAATCAGTGACTGGATTGAATCCACTAGTGCCCAGAATGATGCTGAATCCAGTCACTCACTGTCATCATTGACAGTAATTGACATATTTGAGCTTCGCAACATGACTCCCCTCCCTGTTCTTCAGTTCCCATGGATCAGTGGTTTGATGATCCTGTACTATGTCTTCTACATTTATTTCTTTCATTGTTATGTTTACTTTAGAATTAAGAATCATCCAAATATTTACAGTTAAGTCCACAAACTTTCACTTTACCAGCAAGCAAATTGTTCACTACTGTTCCACTCTAGAGCTGCAAGAAGAGTGTGGGAAGAGCATCCTTCCTGGGAGTACAGATAAAGCTGGAGAAAGACACTGCACTACATTTTGTGTGAGTGGTGCCAGGTCTTAGAAATTGAGATGAGGTACATAGGCAGGTCTTGGTTATTTCAGACCCAGTTAATATTTTTTTTAGATATGGAAAGGATAATTTATTTGTTTTTCTAATCATTTTTTAGCATTTTTATTGAATTTTTGCGATTTCCAGACAATATATTTTGATGATATTTATGTCCCCTCTCCCATCCACTCCTCCCTACATTCTGCAGTTCTCATGGATCAGTTGTCTGATGATCCTGTGCTATGCCTATTACATTTGTTTCTTTCATTGTCATGTTTATTTTAGAATTGAGAGTCAGCACAATATTTACAGTTAAATTCTTAAGCTTTCACTTCATCAGTAAGGAAATTGTTCATTAATGTTCCATTCTAGAATTTCAGGATGAGTGTGGGAGGAGTCTCCTTCCTGGGACAACAGAGAAATCTGGAGAAAGACAAGGTGCTGTGTTTGGTATGAGCAGGCACCGGGGCTTAGAACTTGAGATGAAGCACACAGGCAGATCTTGAGTTGTTTCAGACCCAGTTAATATGTTAAAACCAGTACTTCCCATTTGTAAAACTTCCAGTTCCTTGAAAGTGGTATTAGCAGACATTTACTAGAAGGTGAGAGCAATCAGACATGAACAGGAAAGAAAATTCACAATTCAAGACACTTAAAAATTCCAGTGCATGAGATCTGTCTTTGGTAGGCTGAGACTGAGATCCTTGCAGACAGCCTGAGAGGTCGGGTCTTGACTCCCATTAGAGTAGCGGCTATTATCTCAGTGGACCACTGAAGAGTGCCAAGTTCTGGCCTCCCTTGGCCACCCTCTGGGAGAGGGCCTGAGAACCAAGGGGACTGCCTGACAGTCCCTTGTTCCTGCCTCCACGTGATGGTGAGCTTCCCCTAATTGTGCCATGCCCATCCCTCCTACCTGGGATTTCATGAGGCCTCTCTCAAGGCCTCCGGGCAGATCTGGCTTTGGTAGGCTAAGGCTGAGATCCTAGCAGACAGCCTGAGAGGATGGGTTTTGATCTCGATTGGTGTAGTGGCTCTGATCCAGCTAGGCACCTGGATAACACAAACAGTTCACCAGAGACCATCAGAGTTCCAGCCTCCCTCTGGCTTCTCTCTCTTGCATAGGGGCTGAGAACACAGGGGACTGCCTGAGAATGTCTGTATCCTGACTCCACATGGTGAAGGAAGGCTGAGTGTGCCTGATTAGAACATGAATAGGGCTTCTGTGGGTACTCCTGAATAGGTGATCTGAAGCCATCAGTTCCCTCCAAACTTAAACTGGGAGAGCCTGAACCCTGTACTAACCAGCTAGGCACCTGGATAACACAAACAGAAGCATACTTCAACTTAATTCTCATATCAGAATTATAAACAACAAAAGAAATTCACATGCCAAAATCTCAATGAAAGAATAATAAAATGGAAAGCCAAAACACTATGTCTCCACCAAACTCCACCAATTCTGTAGAAGAGTTCTACAAGGAGAACCCCCTAGAGATAACCCAGGACACTGGATTTAAAAGAACAATCATAAACATGATCAAGGAAATCAACGAATTTAAAGAACACACAAACAAATCAGAGAACTAAAAGAAGAAAAGGATAAACTTCTGAATGAATTCACAAAACAGAAATAATGAAGAAAACTTAGGCAGAAATGAATAAGGAAGTGAAAACTCAATAAGCCAACCTGAAACATCAGGGGAAAGCCTCACAGCTAGAATGAATGAAATGGAAAACAGATTATCAACACTGGAGGATAAAGTTGAAGAATTGGACTACTTAAGCAAAGATTATTGGAAATTTTTAAAAAACACAGGAATGGAATATGACAGAGATGTAGGACACCATGAAAAGTCCAAATCTACAGATCGTAGGAATAGAAAGAGGAGAAGAATTTAGGTTAATGGTATTGATCAGTTCTTAAACAGGATTGCAGAAGAGAATTTCCCAAAATTAAGGAAAGACATCCCCATACAAATTCAGGAAGCACATACAACACCAAATAGGATCAGACAAGAAATTCCCCAAGACATAAAATAGTATAAACACTAAATGTACAGAACAAAGAGAGACTACTGAAAGCAGCAAAAGAGAAACAAGTCACATACAAAGGAAAGCCCATCAGAATTACAGCTGACTTATCAGTGCAAACTATGAAAGCCAGAAGAACCTAGACCAAGGAAT